TCTCAGCCTCTGGAGTAGCTGGAAATACAGTCTGAATGTCATTGCGCCCAGCTAATTTTGTTTTATTTTTGTAGAGACAGTGGAGTCTTGTTTCCCAGGCTGGTCTTGAACTCCTGGCTTCAAGTGATCCTCCTACCTTGGCCTCCCAAGGTGTTGGGATTACAGACATGAGCAACCACACCCAGCCTGCCTTTCATCTTCCTTTTTTTAAAAAAAGAAGTGATTACAGTAGAAACCTACCCTTCTGCACTTTTTGTTTGTTTTTCCACTTTAAATTATGTTTTGTGTGTTTTTTTTGACAGTTTTACTCTGTCGCCCTCGCTGGAGTGCAGTGGTGCGATCTCGGCTCATTGCAAAATCCGCCTCTCTGGCTCAAGCGATTCTCATGCTTCAGTCACCCAAGTAGCTGAGATTAAAGACGCTGGCAACCATGCTGGGCTAAATATGTATATATATATATATTTTTAGTAGAAACAGAGTTTCACCATGTTACCCTGGCTGGTCTTGAATCTTGGGCTCAAGTGGTCTGCCTGCCTCAGCCTCCCAAAGTGCTGGGATTACAGGCATGAGCCACCGCATCCAGCCTAAATTATATATTGGGTTTTGTGGCATATTATTTCATTAGCGCTTATTCCTTCTTTTTGATTATTTGCTTTCTTATTTTAAAAAGTATTTGCATCTTATTTTGTTCTATGGATATATCATGATTTATTAATCCAGTACTGTATTAGGGACATTAATGAAACAATAACTTAATTGTCCAGACTTTTAAAAAATTTTTACAAATAATTTGGTTAGTTAAAAAAAGATAGTTAACTGGGTGTGGTGGCATACACCTCTAATCCCAGCATTTCAGGAGGCCGAGTCAGGAGTATTCCTTCAGTCTAGGAGTTTGAGAGCAGCTTGTGCATCTTTTGTAGAGACTTTGTAAAATTAGCTGTGCATGGTGATGTGTGTCTGCAGTGTCAGCTACTCAAGAGGCTGAGGTGGGAGGATCACTTGAGCCTAGGAGCTCCAAGCTGCAGTTATCATGCCACTGAACTCCAGCCTAGGTGACAGAGCAATACCTTGCCTCAAAAATAAAATAAAATGAAATAATAAAATAAAATAAAATAAAACCCAGAACTGATGATCAATTTTCACTGTTCCTAATATTCTAATATACTTTAGGAAATCATTTTAGGATATGTTACTGTTTTCTTTTCAACATGAATAAGGGTAGAGGTATACAAAGTCAAAAATCTGTTTGGTAATCAATATAATTATTTACCATTGAGCAGTAATATGTCATTCACCACAAGCAGACCAAGTTTGCTGCTCTTGTTGAAAGAATATTGTTTTGTGGAAAAATCTATAAATATCTTTGACCTTCAAAGATAGTAATTGTAATTCTGTTTTCATTGCTTTGTTTTTATGCTTACATGCATGTATATTTAAAACCTTCCTAGCATATTATTAAGAAAGTTTTAAATACCCTAAATAGGAATTCCCTAAATTGGGAAATACTTGAAGTTGATAGAGGATCCTCCTTAGCCACCAAAACTGTATTCATCAATTATTATTATCATTATTATTATTATTTTTGAGACAGGGTCTCACTCTGTAGCCCAGGATGCAGTGCAGTGGCACAATCTGGGCTCACTGCAACCTCTGCCTCCTGGGCTCAAGTGATCTTCCTACCTCAGCCTCCGAAGTTGCTGGGACTACAGGCGCACACCACCATACTCAGCTAATTTTTGTATTTTTTGTAGAGATGGGGTCTTACCATGTTGCCCAGGCTGGTCTCAAACTCCTGAAATATCCAGAAATACAATTTTCTTTACAAATTGTTTGCTACTATTTAGAGTCAACGACAGAAATATTTTTGTGTAAATAATGTGATGAGAAATTTAAATCATTTCACTGAAAATGCCCTTATTCACCTTTCCTGTTTTACCTACGTTTTTGGTAAGAATTTTGTAGAAATTCAGAGGAGCTCTTAATCATCTACAATGAAGGCATTCATGGAGAATTTACTTTTGAGGTGGACTTTGAAAGATGAATAGAATTTTGACACATAAAGATGAAGTAATAGAAGAAAAACCTTGAACAAAGAGTGTACCAAGAAAGAGACAACATATTTTCTGTAAAATACCACTCATATTGGAAAGTGGTTAGCCTTAGCACTGAGAAGATTGGCTCATGGCCATGTAGCCTATCTCCCAGATGGAAGTCTAGTGTCTTGACAGTTGGTCAATAGAAAGATAAACTTGCTGAAGATTTTAGTGCAATCGAGTGAAAGCTGTACTAATAAAGACAGAAATTATCTCATGTGAAAGGAGAGATGGGATGTATACAAACTTTAAATATGGTAGGCAAGGGAAAAGAAATCATAAAAATACATGTGAGTAAGTGTGGAGAATCGCCATGCTATACAAATTGTGATTTTTTAATGATTTGGGTTTTCGGTGATTATTGATTAGATATTCTTCTAACTTTGGTTGACTCATTTTCTAGGCAATGTTAGGGTATACAGGTTAAAATGTCAGGTAGAAAATGAAAATAGGGGGTTGCAGTATGGAGTTAAGAATACTTCAAATAATAGGCTAGTTTAAAGCCCTGGAAATAGAAATGTTAAATAAAAAGATTGGGGAAAAAAGGTTAAAGGCATAATTCTGGAAAATACTCACTTTTTAGAGCAGAAGAAAGATGAAGAACTAACAAACAAGCCAATGGTGGAAATACTACTAGAGTTTGACATGTCAGAGAAATCATAGAGGAAAATGTTTTAAGTGAGAGGCTGAATTTAACAAACTATAGAGATATCGGTAAATAGTGTAAAGAATATGCACATACATTTTTATTACTTTAGTAAGTAAAACTGTTCAGGCAATTTGACATTTATTGAATAAAGAAAAGCAGAAATTTAACAATAAGAACACAAGAAGATAAAATGTAGAAAAGGTAGAATTATATGCTCACCTCAGAGTAATATATGCCAGTGTTTCTGGTGACCAAATAAATGTTAATGCATTTCTTCCACACGAAACTATGGAGGACAGTTTACATTTCTGATATCCATGACATACAGGTCACACTTTATTATTAATTGATACGATATTTAAAATATTGGGAATAAATTCCTTTCCTTATGAAGAAGAAATCCCTAGATGAAACTAATGTAAGGAGCCAGTCGGTATGAATACCTCTGCAATTGATGAAGTTAAGGATTTACTATTAAAGTATGATAAAGAAATAGAAGGTGCATGAGAGAACCCAGATATTGCGGAAGTAATTCATGTAATCATTACCTTTTGAAGCCACATGATGTCGCTGTCTACCAAGAAGTTCTGGTTAGCCAAGGTTCAAAGTCCTTCCTCTGACAGCATCTGTCTCTAAAGGCTGAACAATGGGAGATGCAGCGGAATTGAATTAAAAGACGCCAGAAAGTACAGTCGTTCATCTTCATATTAAGATAAGATTTTCTGATAGGAAACGACTATTTAACATGGTTTGTCACTGGCGAGGAGACCTGGGATCCCGGCGACTACTACTCTCTCTTCTGCTCCTCGCAGCCTGGAAGGCAGGGAGCGGCCAGCTCCACTACTTTGTCCCCGAGGAGGCCAAACACGGCACCTTCGTGGGCCGCATCGCGCAGGACCTGGGACTGGAGCTGGGAGAGCTGGTGCCGCGCCTCTTCCGGGTGGTATCCAAAACACACGGGGACCTTCTGGAGGTAAATCTGCAGAATGGCATTTTGTTTGTGAATTCTCGGATCGACCGCGAGGAGCTGTGTGGGCGGAGCGCGGAATGTAGCATCCACCTGGAGGTAATCGTGGACAGGCCGCTGCAGGTTTTCCATGTGGACGTGGAAGTGAAGGACATTAACGACAACCCGCCAGTGTTCCCGGTAAAAGAGCAAAAGCTATTTGTTTCAGAATCCAGAATGCCAGACTCTCGGTTTCCGCTAGAGAGCGCGTCTGATGCAGATGTTGGAGCTAACTCCGTGTTAACCTACAGGCTTAGCTCTCATGATTACTTCATGCTAGATGTGAATTCAAAGAACGATGAGAATAAACTGGTTGAGCTGGTATTAAGAAAATCCTTGGACAGAGAGGACGCTCCGGCACACAACTTATTCCTGACAGCCACAGATGGCGGCAAACCTGAGCTTACAGGCAGTGTTCACCTGGTGGTCACAGTGCTGGATGTGAATGATAATGCTCCCACTTTCGAGCAGCCTGAATACGAAGTAAGAATATTCGAAAACGCAGACAACGGAACAACAGTTATCAGACTGAATGCTTCTGATCGGGATGAAGGAGCGAATGGGGCAATTTCATACTCTTTTAATAGCCTTGTTGCAACTATGGTTATTGACCACTTTAGCATAGATCGAAATACAGGAGAAATAGTGATTCGGGGTAATTTGGATTTTGAACAAGTAAATTTATACAAAATCCGCGTTGACGCAACGGACAAAGGCCATCCTCCCATGGTGGGTCATTGCACTGTTTTAGTGAGAATTTTGGATAAAAATGATAACGTCCCTGAGATAACATTGACTTCTTTATCCTTGCCTGTGCGTGAAGACGCTCAATTCGGTACTGTCATCGCCCTAATTAGCGTGAACGACCTTGGCTCAGGTGTCAGCGGGCGAGGGTGACCTGCTCCTTGACATGTCCCACTAGGCTGGTGTCCACCTTCCAGAATTACTACTCGTTGGTGCTGGTTAGCGCCTTGGACGCGAGGAATGTGTCCTATGAGCTGGTGGTGACGCGGGGCCAGGGAGCTCGCCGCTGTGGGCCTGACCAGCGTGTCCGTGTAGTGTGTGTGGTTTCTCTTCGTCAGCAGTTTTAAATTTTTGGTGGTTATTGAAGGCAGCGTTGCGACAGGTTGTCTCACAGGGGTTACGTTGAGCAGAGGACGGTAGCGCCCAGAGGAAGCAGCGGACTGGTGTCTACTTTCTAACTCTGGTGGGCGGCCGGGGTGGGCGGCGCAGCGCTGTCGCTCCTCATGGTGCCGCTTCGAAGCGGCAAGGTGTCTGCAGCTTTGCGTCGGCTGGACCAGCGAGGAGCTGGAGCTGCTGCAGTTCCAGGCCGCGGCGGGCGTCCCCATGCCTCTGGGAAGCATCAACATGGCTCAGGTATTGGTGCTGGGCGAGAATGACAAGCGGCGCGCCGGTGCTACTGGCTGCCTGGGTGGGTGGCACTGCGGCGCAGTGGCGAGCAGTTACGCGGTTGGTGGAGTCGCGGGCCACGTGGTAGCAAAGGTCGCGGCGGTGGACCCCGCTCGGAGCTTCTAATCTGCGTGGCTTTATTATGAGCTGCAGCCAGCAAGCGGCGCTGGTTCGGGCTCAGCGTGGGGCTGTACGGGCGAGATTAGCACGACCTAGAGTATCCTGGGCCAATACGGACTATAAGCGCCCTGCGCGCCTGCTAATTGCTAGTGAAGGATCATGGTGAGCGGGCGAGGAGCTGGCGGCCCACGGCCACGTGCTGCAGGTAATGCTAGTGGAAGCAAGCCAGGCTCCAAAAAGGCGTCTTCGAGGCGTCGACTGCTTCATGGGTCCCAGGCCGAGCGTTAGTGGATGTCAGCGTCTTGCCTGATCATTGCCATCTGCGCAGTATCCAGCCTTCTGGTGGCACCACGCTGCTACTATACCTCACGCTGCGGTGCTCATGGCGCCACCACAAAGGTAGGTGCCCAACAGGCTCATCCACTCTAGTGTGCCTCAATCTCAGTGGGGAGCTGGTCATACTCGCATAGCAGCGGCAGAGGTGGCGTGTGCTCTGGTGAGGGGCCACTGAAGGCGGACCTCGCCAGCGCTGGCCCCAGCGCTACCCTGATCTACAGGATCAGTTGATGTAAGCGAACAGCAAGTTAAATGTTGATCATGTGGCCTCAAGTAAGTCCACAAATTTAGACTCAAATTCTATTTGTAGAGTGGCAATTGCTAAGTGTTTATGTATTTTTGCCGTATTATATGGTGAAATTTAAACATTGTTTAGTTTTGAAACCTTTTATAGTCAGTTAGTTTTCTCAGTGGCATAATACAGTATTAATCATTCTACAAGTTGGGTCTATATCTTGGAAGCTCAGAAGTTATGGTTGGATGATATCTTTTACAGACATTTATTTTTGTGTATTATTCCCTCTGAACAATGTCCCAGCAGCATCCAGGATATATATTTTTGATCTTTGGTAGATGTATTCTCCCAAACATTTATTCTTTTTGTCCTTAGGCACTGAACTCTTTCGTCTTACTCCACTTGTACTGTACTTTGAAATGCATGTTTTAAATATATTTGTCGTTATTTTTTCTTTTATTCACTTTAACATCTCAGTTTATTCATCCTATTATCTGACTTTCTGGTATCTGGTAATCACAAATATCTTGGTGTTTTCACTATTGCATTTAACAATATAGTGATAAAATACAGAATAATAGTGTTTTCAAAGGTGATGATTTTCTGTATACTTCCTAATTTTTTTACTAAACCTTCTAGCAAAAAAGTAAAATCAAGAGGAAGAGATTTGTGCTTCTTTTGATCATTATTTAGACCATTTTACTGTTGGGGACGTGTTTTTATTCTACACGATTTTTACAGTTGGGGTGTCGACAACGCACATTTTGAGCCTCTATGTTTGAAAATGATTGCTTTACTCACAGTATCTTCCTAGCTCTAATCAAGACACAAATCCTTTGTTCAGAGTTGGTATCTTCTCAATAATATTCCCATTATAAAGTAGTATTTAATGAAGCTTAGAAAAATGTTTCATCAAGAAACACTATGCATGTGTCCATTTCATTTGCAAACCAAACATATAATTTATAAATCTTTATTATACAGAATATTGGGATTCTCATAGCCCGTGGTTTGCATGTAAAAATGTTTGCTTTATAGGATAAATCTTTAGAAAAAATCCAAGATGCTGACTTTGATGTCTTTCAATGTTTTCTTTCTTTTCTTTTCTCTTGTCTTTTTACCTTTGCTTCTTGTGACGGCGGGTGGGCGAGCGCGCGCTGTCGAGCTACGTGTCGGTGCACGCGCAGAGCGGCAAGGTGTACGCTTTGCAGTCGCTGGACCATGAGGAGCTGGAGCTGCTGCAGTTCCAGGTGAGCGCGCGCGACGCGGGCGTGCCGCCTCTGGGCAGTAACGTGACGCTGCAGGTATTCGTGCTGGACGAGAATGACAACGCGCCGGTGCTGCTGGCGCCTCGGGTGGGTGGCACTGACGGCGCAGTGAGCGAGCTGGTGCCGCGGTTGGTGGGTGCGGGCCACGTGGTAGCAAAGGTGCGCGCGGTGGACCCCGACTCGGGCTACAATGCGTGGCTTTCGTATGAGCTGCAGCCAGCAGCAAGCAGCGCTCGGTTCCCGTTCCGCGTGGGGCTGTACACGGGCGAGATTAGCACGACTCGTGTCCTGGACGAAGCGGACTCTCCGCGCCACCGCCTGCTGGTGCTAGTGAAGGATCATGGTGAGCCGGAGCTGACGGCCACGGCCACCGTGCTGGTGTCGCTGGTGGAGAGCGGCCAGGCTCCAAAGGCGTCTTCGAGGCCGTCGACTGGCGCTGTGGGTCCCAAGGCGGCGTTGGTGGATGTCAACGTGTACCTGATCATTGCCATCTGCGCGGTATCCAGCCTTCTGGTGCTCACGCTGCTACTGTACACTGCGCTGCGGTGCTCAGCGCCGCCCACTGAGGGTGGGTGCCCGGCAGGCAAGCCCACTCTGGTGTGCTCCAGTGCGGTGGGGAGCTGGTCATACTCGCAGCAACAGCGGCAGAGGGTGTGCTCTGGTGAGGGGCCACTGAAGACGGACCTCATGGCCTTCAGCCCCAGCCTTCCTCCTGATCTGGGATCAGTTGATGTAGGCGAACAGCAAGATTTAAATGTTGATCATGGCCTCAAAGTAAGTCCATTTAAATTTAGAACTCAGAAATTCTATTTGTGGAAATTGTAATTACTTTAAAAGTGTTTCATATGTATTTTTCACCGTATTATATAGTGAAAATTTAAACATTGTTTTAGTTTTTAGAAACCTTTTATAATTAATTGAATTTTCTCAGTGGCATAATACAGTATTAATCATTCTCCACAAGTTGGGTCTATCTTGAAACTCAAGTTATGGTTGGATGATATCCTTTTTTTACTGAGCATTTATTTTGGTCTTCTCTGAACAATGCTCTAGCAACGTCCAGGATATTTTGATCTTTGGTGAATGTATTCTCCCAAAACATTTATTCTTTTGTCCTTAGGCACTGAACTCTTAATCTTACTCCATATGCTGTACTTTGAAATGCATGTTTTAAATATGTTGTCGTTATTTTTTCTTTTATTCACTTTAACATCTCAGTTTATTCATCCTATTATCTGACTTTCTGGTGTCTGGTAATCACAAATATCTTTGGTGTTTCACTATTGCCGTTTTAAGCAATATAGTGATAAAATACAGAATAATAGTGTTTTTCAAAATTTGATAGTTTTCATATACTTCCTAATTTTTTTTATAAACTAGCAAAAAAGTAAAATCAAGAGGGAAGAGATTTGTAATGCTTCTTTTAAGTCATTATTTAGACCATTTTACTATTTGGGGACGTGTTTTTTATTCTACACGATTTTTACAGTTGGGGTGTCGACAACTTAACATTTTTTGAGCCTCTATGTTTAGAAAATGATTACTTTACTCTTGCAAGTATCTTCTAAACTCTAATCATTCAATCCTTTGTTCAAGAGTTGGTATCTTCTCAATAATATTCCACATTAAAGTGATATTTAATATGACTTAGAAAAATGTTTTCATCAGAAACACTATACATGGTAATTTCATTCTTGCAAACCAAACATATAATTTATAAATCTTTATTATACAGAATATTTGGGATTATCATGGCCCATTAGTTTGTGTAAAAATATTTAGCTTTATGGGATAAATCTTTGAAAAATCCAAGATACTTTATTTTGATGTCTTTCAATGTTTTCTTTCTTTTCTTTCCTCTTGTCTTTTTACCTTTGCTTCTTGTGACTATTTCACCTGCCTTGATATTAAATACCCATTAGACTTTGAGCATGTTGCTTTGGAGGAAATGGTGGAACTTGATGGAAGGGAATGAAGGATTTCTGGGACTCTGAATTCTTACAGTTTGTTATTAGCATTATTTTAAATCTTTTAATCCCTTAAGAACCAATAATGTAATCATTTATGGGCATGTTTTATCCCCCTTGTCCACCTGAAGGTAACCTCAAAGCAGAATTATTTTGTAGTTGATTTTAATGTTCTCTTAATGCCTGTCCATGTTTAACATTTCATTTGACTATTAGAACACATTACATGAAAGCAAATTGTTTTCTTTTCTTTTTTCTTTTTTTTTTTTGAGACGGAGTCTGGCTCTGTCTCCCAGGCTGGAGTGCAGGGGCCAGATCTCAGCTCACTGCAAGCTCCGCCTCCCGGGTTCACGCCATTCTCCGGCCTCAGCCTCCCGAGTAGCTGGGACTACAGGCTCCCGCCACCGCGCCCAGCTAATTTTTTGTATTTCTTAGTAGAGACGGGGTTTCACCATGTTAGCCAGGATGATCTCGATCTCCTGACCTCGTGATCCACCCGTCTCGGCCTCCCAAAGTGCTGGGATTACAGGCTTGAGCCACCGCACCCGGCCAGCAAATTGTTTTCATTTTAGTCCTTTAAGGACTTTAAAAAATATGCTTATCTTTATTATCCTGTTTGAATAGTATGTGGAGTTTTTCCTTTGTGTAAGTAATATTTCCTATCCTGTCTATGTCTACCTGGTTCTCAGGTATTACTTTAATTACTGAATTCTCCTAAACATTTAATTGACTTTTACAAAATATCATAAATAAAAGGATTCTTTCCGCCACCTAGCATTGTATTTGGCAACTTATCATTTAAGTCATTTTAGTTCTGTGTTTCTTCAAATACCTCTCTAATTGATATTTGAATTTGGGGTTGTGCTTTCACAATGAGAAAGTCTAAACCTGTTTCTTGTACATTAATACTTTTCACTATTCTAATTATGGTGTTGCTTTTAGCTATTAAGTATTTCTGGGATTGAAATGTGCCAGAAGTTAGTTATTAAGTATTGTGGATTCTGAAGCTCTCTAAATCAAGTCCTCCCTTTACCAATTTTTGTATATGTAGTCTTTGGTAAAGGATTTGTTATTCAGTTCCTTGGCTTTATATGTATGCATGATAAATGTGAATTCTACTGCATATACTTTTTGTATCAAGTAAGTTAATAGTCATAAATTATCAAGAATAAAGTCTGGCAAGTGATAGGTACATAATAAAATTTAGTTATCATTCTTAAGAGAAAAGAAGTTAGTGATTGCAAGAAGGAAACCTAAAATGTCAGAAAGTCATTATGACCTTCCATATTAATCTTATTTTTATGTAAAATTATCTTTTATAAAGTCATTTTTAGATTAACCTAGGATGTTTCAATACTTTGAGTGTTGTGTGGTGGAATGAAAAAAATCTAAAGGTTATTATGAGTTTAGGAAAGTCAAGTTAATATCACCTATGTGGAAAAAAATTTTCTGGAACGGTTAAAGTCCTTCCAAGGAATGTGTAGACTATCTTACATTGGTAGTTTTATGTTTCCCATATTTAAAAGTTGCCTGAGACCTTGCAGAGGGCAGAGTAGGTGTTTGAGATCTTTGTATGTTTCTTTCCATTAATAGTATTTTTCTTAAAAAGAAGTATATGATAACATTTTGATGATGATTTGAAGTCAATTTATGTTGTAGTTCTATGAATTAAGTAGACCATTTATGTAGAGTGTTGTAGAATAGCCTTTTAAAATTCTCTTTCTTTCTTTCTTTCTTTCTTTCTTTCTTTCTTTCTTTC